TATAACCAATAAGGACACGTGGCGTGTCGAGTTGAGCAGAGTAGTAGCAGAGTAACTCATGTCATGATCGTATCTGGAATGGCTACTCTGAAGCTGATGATTTTTGGCAGCGGGAAACAAATTTTGGTGCTTATTTCACCCTATTGCCGTTTTAATAGGAACAGAGGGAACACTGAAGATTTTATTTTAAGCAGTAAGCGCGCATAGTCATAAAACGTACCGTTTTATAGTATCATATTCTCTTTGTAAAACTGAAAGATGCCTTCTTACGAAAGCAAAGGGGGAGAAAGAAAGAAAAAAGACGTTCATAAGCTGCATATACAAAAAAAAAATGGTTCAGAACGCCTCACTATATAACTGACCAGAAAAAAAAAAGTGAATAAGTTTTGACCTTCGAGATCATGGATTTTTTCTCCATCAACGAAGCACTCTTTCCCAACAAGAGTCTCTTTGCAATATCCTTTTTTCTCATAAGAAAGATAATTTTCAGCAATATATATGATTTCTAAATCATGTATAAGTGGTTGGTTTTCAAACCAAGCAATGCAATGCTCCTCCAAAATTTTGGCTATAACCTCAACAGACTGGTTTTGCAAACATTCCAAGAGCATAAGATGCGTTTAATATACTTGAATGTATATGACATGTAAAACTTGGAGAAGTAACATATTGTTTTACATAGGAGTTACTGTTCGCAAAAGATTTTAAGATAAATAATCAAGAATTTAAAACTCAAATACCTGACGAAGATTAATCAGATGGTCAAATGAAATCTTGAATACTATCTCTAAACGATTCAGTTTTCGAAAAAACTCTGATAAGAACTTGCCAATATATTGATCAACAACACAATGATTACACCAAGAACCAGCTAGGGTTTACTGAGAGTCCCTATCTCTCCCAGATACATCACCACAAGATGCATAACTCTCTCACGTTTATTTATAGTACTCATCTATACAATTCTGTTATTCTCTTTTTTTTTATTTCTTTCTTGTTAACTTCCTTAATGCTCTTAAAGCTCCCACTTCACTGTTCTTCGTAAGCCACTGATCATATCAGTTTTCAAATCCAATAACGACTGTATCATATTTTTATATTTGCCCTTGTCCTTAACATTAATCATCTGCCTACTTTTCCTAATGTAGGAGCTTAGTGCATGCTATAAAACTCAAGCACAGTAACCCGCAATAAGAGGGTGCGCATGCATCCTCTGATGGTCTTTAGAAAGATGCTCATCCATTAATATTTTGAAGGATTTCAAAGATTACATTAGTATGTGTTGTCATAAATTGGTATGAGAGAGCAAAGTGTAGTGCAAGCACATGAGCAAAAATATTGAAAAACAAGAGTAAAACTATGAACAAATTTTGTATTGATGACTAATGATTGAAAAGCGAAGCATAAGCGGGTTTGGAAGGATGATCATAAGTAAATACCACATGTGTACTCTACTCTACACTTACATTTAGTCCAAACTTAATTATACAAGTAAAATGAGTTGCTCATACCAAGTTCTGTCGGTGAAGCCCTTAGAGAAGAAGATAATGTTTGAGGTGCCAATTCATCATCATCTTCTTACTTTCGCCTGAAAGTTAATGATAAATCAGATTTTGATCTCCAAAGCATAACACTGCCATTTTAGACGAAGTTCATTAAGCACAGTCACAGACGTGATAAACTTTAATTAGGTAGAGTCATGAGCTGAGATTGGTATTCAACTTGTTCACATGGATGGTTTTCAAATATACAAGTTAATTAGATCAAATACAGACCACAAAAAATAAATTTTGAAATTTAAGAAATGTCTAAGAATACTTATTACACATCTTCATAAAATTAATTAATGTATTCTCCTAAAACTAAAACTAAAGCATCTCTTATACTCTAAAGTCTAACAATCATCCTATTATAAAACAAAGAGCGAGCATATGATTTATATTTTCATTTTTCTAATTTAAGATAATATAGTTGGAAAAATATCAATATTTACTTTATTGTACATGTAAGTTTACCACCAAGCCCAATATTTAACCGTTGTTGTGCGGATTCGAACTTGGTTAATCTTATATACTAAAACAGAAGTCATGACTTGACTTCATGTGTGATTTTTTTAAAAAATGAACTATTACTAAAAAGTCATGTTACATTAACTCTCTTATAATCTCATCATTATTATATCTAATGAAAAATCATATCTATAATAACAAATATACGCTTAAAATTTTGGTTTTGGTAAATTACCCCACACCTTCCAACTTAGTCACGCAAAATATGTCAATAGATATAAGTTTAGGAATCTTCTATAATTTATAAGGAAATATATCAATAATAATTAAATGTATCCGCAATATATTAAAAAAAATCACAGATCCGTAATATGGAATATTTCTATACCCTAACAAAATTTACACGCTCTATATACTAGATAAATTTATTTCAATGTAAATTTTTAAAATTATATTGTTTTAAAAAGAGAAATTTTTTAAAAATCCCATTTTGATAAAATTCTTTATAATATTAGTTTATGAAGATATAAGTTTAGTTTTTAGAAAAAATTTCTTCGAAGTTTATATTATCTTTCCAAATTAAAGTATACTAATATTTAATCAAGCTCTATTTATATTAGTTTATCTAAAAATGAAATACTAATCTAACAAACAATAAAATATAGAAGAAGAAACAAACACATGTTTGAAAAACATGTTTAATATAGAAAAGTTGAAACAATCTATTTGATTAAAACATGTATTATATAATATTATTATGTTTGAAAAACATTTACTATACATATCGTAAATATGTGATTACTATAATATATACCAATTTACAAGTAAAAACAAAATATTTATATAACTAACTATAAACGAAAACAAACATCCGCGCAGTTGCGAGGGTTAAAATCTAGTTAAAAATTAGTTAAATGTTTAAATCACTTAACAGAGATTCCTTCCGTATATAATATATGACTCATTTGAATACAGAAACTAGCGTAACAGCCGTATGACCAATGAAGCAAGAAAATTAACAGAACAAAACTTACACAATTACCAGAAGTTGTAGTAAATTTTATGTGGAAGAACTAATCCCGAAAGATTTCGCATTACATCTCCATGTGTATATGCTTCTTTTCACTATAAAACGACCAAACACCTGACCTCTTCTCATAGCTGTCTGTGAGCCATTTGGTCATAGTAGATCCAATAGAGATGGCTGTGAGCCATTGGGCTTTGCGGTAGAGGATCCGGTTCCACCTCTACCTCTTCCCATCGCTGTCGAAGGTGGTTGAGCGAGTTTCAGATTTTCTTGGAGGCCACTCAATGTCCACTGGAGGACATGGGGTTGGTGCTGTTGCCTTGTTTGCCAAATTAGACATGGTTGATGGCTGTGTTGAGGATTTGTTAAACTGGTTGCTTGCGACGTGTTGAGAAGACGCAGGATTTCTCACAGTAAAATCTTTACTCGGAGAACCCCAATCTTCATCCCAAGCTGGACTACTCTTGGCTGCAGAAGCAACCTTTTCGGGTGTTTGGGCAGATGATTGAAACTGGACTCCATTGGCAACAGAATGTGGCTTTACCTCTGAGGGTCCAGAATCATTCACCGTAACTCCTCTTTTCTCCTGTAATCTATTTTCCTGTTTCAAGAAACACAAGCAGGTAATAGTAAGATAACAACACTATGCAGTGGTAAGGACGTGAAACACTATCCCTGACAACGATAGACTTTTCGGCCTCGAAGAAATCTGTGGAAAACGCCATGTCTGGACTCTGGAATCCTACATCACAGCAACCAGAGGCAGTGTCAGAGTCTGAGGAACAATTGTTCAATTGGGTGGAAGTTGGTCGAAAGATACTAAAAATAACCATGAGTGATCATTTTATCACCTCTTGCAGTCGCTCTATGAATATGTGTAGCATGGTTCTTGTTTTGTGTTTGTGCTGAATTTGCCAGGTGTCTTCTCCAAAACACTCGTTTGTGTTTTTTTTTTTTTTTGTAATAGTCGTTTTTTAATGGTATTTGAATATATATTGTTATTTGCAATCTCACAAGAGTATGCTATAAAATACAGATATTCTGAATTTGCTAGGTTTCCTTCTCCAAAACAACTCTTTTGGGTCTTGTTTGTACTGTTCTTATTTTATGTTTTTGTAATAGTCGTCTTTTAATGGTATTTAAATATTATGCATTGTCATTTGCAATCCTCACAAGAGTGTGCTATTAAATACGGATCCTCTGATTCTTTGAGGAGTTTACGACCATGATATACTAGTAAGTTGTAAGTGGGAACGATCTAACCAAGTCAATCATATTTTTATTTATTTAGCTTTGGTATATAAGCTATCCATATAGCCAAGTAGCCAAAGATGATATAGAATGAAAAACAACATAGAAAAAAGTTGATAGATATTATTGAATAAAAACGTTGAGAGATAAAAAACGTTGATAGATATTATTGAATAAAAACGTTGAGAGATAGATATTTTGAGAACTGAATTGCTATGGTTTATGTTAAAAGTTATGAGATAAGTGGTCCAATTCATTGGGTTTTGAGTGTATAAAATTATGTAAATTTAAATTAGCAAAGGAGCATGTAATCATGGTAATGGGGGCCTTGACATGCTACCGATTGTGGTCTATGTTGAAGTTTGACAAGACACATCATTAAAACAAAGATAATTTGTGACGTATAACATTCTTTTGTTCGTAAAAGTTATCCTACATTATTATATTTATTTGTTGGAAAGATGTTCAATGCGACCGAAAGTTGTAGTTGGTGAGTCAATATTTACGTGGAAAATTTGAAAGCAAGTGCCACAATTCAATGAGGGAGTGGTAACTTCAGAGAAACGACCGCGTTGACGCAAAAGACTTGCTAAGTCACAGCCCGACATAGGGGTTTCTACTTTTTCTTCTTCTTCTTTTAAAGAGCAAGTGAAGCATACAACATAAACCATCCATTACTTACAACATATACTCAAAAAAAAACAAAGAAAAAGATGATTCAAAGCCATTGTTATTGCCTTTCTGGTATTGTTATTACTATCTACTGCTGCCTCCTAATCCACAGTCTTGCTTCTCCTACGCTCCACTTTTGCCGCCACGACCAGAGGAAGGCTCTTTTGGAATTCATAGACGAGTTTCCTGCTGATGAGTTTACCGTAAGACGGTGGAATGAGAGCAGTGATTGCTGTCTTTGGATGGGTGTCACATGCGATGATACATATGGCCAGGTGATATCACTCGACCTTTCTGGGACGTTTCTCAACAATTCTTTAAAAACAAATAGTAACCTTTTTAGGCTCCAATATCTTCGTCACCTAAGCCTTTATTGGTGCGGACTCCAAGGAGAAATTCCTTCTTCACTAGGAAACCTTTCTCATCTCACATTTCTTGACCTTTCTCGTAATCATTTGATAGGTGAGATTCCTCTTTCAATAGGCTATCTAAGCAATCTGAAAGAGCTTATCCTAGGGCCTAACAATCTTACAGGAGAGATTCCTTCTTCAATAGGAAACCTCTCTAGTCTCACAATTCTTGAGCTTTATGGTAATAATTTGATAGGTGAGATTCCGGCTTCCATCAGTAACCTAAATGAGCTAAGTGTCATTGATCTTGGCGCCAATAGCTTAAGTGGCAAATTTCCTATTTCATTTGCCAACTTAACTAAGCTTACCGGTTTTAGTATCTGCTCTAATAAATTCACATCCACGCTTCCATCAGATATGAGTGGATTTCACAACTTGGAAATTTTCAATGTCTCTCAAAACTCATTTACAGGGCCTTTCCCTAAATCATTGTTCTCAATTCCTTCATTACAATTTTTATCTTTGGGAGAAAACCAATTCACGGGACCAATAGAGCTTGGCTATAATACATCTTTGTCATCCTTTGAGCTTCAGTCTCTAGACCTTTCTTCTAACAGATTTGATGGCCCTATCCCGGAATACCTATCTGAATTTGACCTCTTCCACTTATACCTTGACCACAACTATTTCACAGGGTCAATCCCTAGATCTTTATCAGAGTTAGTCTATCTCGAGGACTTGTATCTGTCCAACAATAAGTTGACAGGTGAAATACCAAATTTCATATTGGGAATATCGACAACCACTCTCTATCACAATCTTTTCAGCAGTTTGGAAAACACAATACAAGAAATAAGGAGCCACATTCTGGATCTAAGTTCGAATTCATTTCGAGGCCCATTTCCTCACTGGATCTGCAATATTGAAAGTATAAAATTGTTAGATTTGTCTAACAACTTCTTCACTGGCTTGATTCCTTCGTGTTTAAGGAATAACATGTCTCTTCTTAAAGAACTAAGTCTGAGCAACAATAGTTTCAGTGGAGTTATTCCAGATATATTTGTCAATGTTACGGGTCTAGTATCATTCGATGTTAGCCGTAATCAGCTGGAGGGAAAGTTTCCAAAGTCGTTGATCAACTGCAAAGCTCTTCAACTTGTGAATGTAGAAGGCAACAACTTCAAGGACAAGTTTCCATCATGGCTAGGATCTCTGCCGTTGTTACGTGTTCTCAGCCTCAGATCAAACCATTTCTACGGGCCATTGTATCATCATCGCCACAAGTCCATTGGATTTCAGAGTTTAAGAGTCATCGATGTCTCACATAATGATTTCACTGGAATTCTGCCACTTCACTATTTTTCCAGTTGGGGTGAAATGACCAATTTAACCCAAGAATACCACGACTACATGACAGAAACTAACCCTGTAAATCAGTACCCTATCTCAATTGGACCTACAATCTATCGCTCGATTGAAATGGTGGTCAAAGGAGTAGATATGAGGTTTGAGCGAATCCGAGAAGACTTTACAGCCATCGATTTTTCTGGAAACAGATTTTATGGCGAAATCCCTGTATCCATTGGCTACTTGAAGGGACTGCGTCTACTCAACATGTCACACAACACATTCACAGAAGATATCCCACGAAGCTTGGCAAATTTGACAAATCTCGAGACGTTGGATCTCTCGAGTAATAACTTATCAGGTGAAATCCCTCAAGATCTTGGTAATCTCTCTTTTATGTCATACATGAACTTCTCTCATAACAGTCTCCAAGGTCCAGTGCCCCGAGGCACACAGTTTCAAAGGCAGAACTGTTCTTCATTCACGGACAACCCTGGCCTCTTCGGCCTCGAAGAAATCTGTGGAGAAAGACATGTCCCGGAGCCTCCTACGTCACCAAAACACGAGGAAGAGGAGAAATGGTTCAGCTGGGTTACAGCTGCAATAGCCTATGTACCTGGTCTATTCTGCGGATTGGTGATCGGATATATTTTCACTTCATACAAACAAGAATGGTTCACTTAAAAAGTTTGGTTGAAGAAAACTCAGAGACAGCACGCTAAGCTCATCTCTTGCAGTCTTTCTAATAAGCATTTCTAATGCATATCTTTTGCGACGTGTAGTTTGTATTTAAACTGAAACTTCTAGGTGTGTGTTTTCCATAAGATTCGGTTGTGTTTGTTTTGTAATTTCTATTCAATGTTTTGTAATAAACTGTATTTGGTGGCATTCAATGTATGTAACTTCCTCCGATTTCAGATTAGTTGTTGTTTTAGAGTTTTGCACAAGAATTTTTTTTTTCGAACGACACACAAGAAATTAGTTAAATGTTTAAATTTACTAATGTTAGCCATAACGATTTAGAAATCTAAAAGAAAAACCGAGATTCCTTCCGTATATTATATGACTCATTTGAATACAGAAAATAGCGTAACAGCCGTATATAGACCAATGAAGCAAGAAAATAAACAAAACAAAACTTACAAAATTAGAGAGAGAGAGATGGAAAGAACCTGAAGTTGTAGTAAAGTTTTATACGTGGAAGAACTAATCCCAAAAGATGTTTACATAACATCTCCATGTTCTAACAAAGTTTTCTCTGTTATCACAAAGCACACCTCGCAATCTCCATGTGTATATATGCTTCTTCTCTTCACTATAAACGACCAAACACCTGACCATCGAGAGCATATGGTCATAGTAAATCCAATAGAGATGGTTGTGAGCCATTGGACTTTGCAGTAGAAGAGCCGGTTCCACCTCTACCTCTTCCCCTTCCTCTTCCCATTGCTGTCGAAGGCGGTGGTGCGAGTTTCATTGCAGGCTGCCCGGTTTTGCTTGAACCGAATATGGAGCTGATGTCTGCTGGCTTTTGGTTATTGTACGAACCACTGTTGAAAGATGACATTCCCTGGCTCTGTTTAGGTAACCCGAACGAGTTTACTGGATCAGAGACACCTGAACTCCCTTTCTGAGGTGGTTTCAGGGAAGACAATGAGGCACTGCTGAATGCCCAATCATCATTGCTAGCTGTCTGAACTGGTAAATTGTTGCTGAAACCATTGTTGAGACCAGTAGAAGCAACAGAAACACTGTTGTTGGGACGTGGAGGCCAATTAGCAAAGGGATCTAATTCATCAAAACCTGGAGTAGATGATGTTCCTGAGTTTAGTTGTGTCTCATCAGCTATTGCTGGAGCAGTTAGGCTTGAAGATTGTCTTGGAGGCCACTCAATGTCCACTGGAAGGCATGTGGGTGGCGCTACTGCTTTGTTTGGCTGTGACTGGTGTGAGGATTTGTTAAACTGGTTGCTTGTGACGTGTTGAGAAGACGCCGGGTTTCCCACAGCAGAAGCTTTGCTCGTAGAACCCCAATCTTCATCCCAAGCTGGACTACTCTTGGCTGCAGAAGCAACCTTCTCCGGTGTTTGGGCTGATGACTGAAACTGGACTCCATTGGCAGCAGAATGTGGCTTTACCTCTGGGGTTCCAGAATCATTCACTGTGACTCCTCTTTTCTCCTCTATTTTCCTGTTCCAAGAGACACAAATAGATGATAAGAAAGTCAGCAACACTATGCAAAGAACTGCGTGAGAGCAGTTAAGCATACCTGAGAATATCCTTGACAAATAGCATATATTTGGCAAATTGCTGGACGTTCAGTTGTTGAGCAGTAAGAAGAGGCATCATCAGGGGAAGCACGTGTTCCGCTGTGAATTCAACTCCATACTAGAGAACAATAACATAGAAAGAGTGATGAAAGGGAAGTTGCACGTATTCTGCAGTGAACTTGAGCCTGTTTCCTACCTGTTTAAGAATTGCGTTTGCGACAGCAAGGGTACACATAAGAGTAGGTGCAGAACGATCAACAGCAGTACACCGCTGGATTGTTTGCAGAATTTCTATAACAGCTGGTTTATCAAGTGTTTGAACCAGCTCTGCTAAGCAGAGCAAAGCATTAACTCTGACCTGTACAACAAGTACACTCCAATCAATTTTTTTCATAGGATGATGGAGTCAACTTATTCAGTTTTCTCCCTCTCTTTTTTCAGATATTGAAGGATACTGATATTAAAAGAAAATCAAGCTGAGATAATTAAATAGGTCAATAACATACCGCAGCAACTGTAGTTTTGAGAGCCAAGCCATGAACACGAGGCAGAATTGCTTGCTTCACAACCTGCAAAACAAGATACAATTAGAAAGATATAATAACTAAAAGCCTAAACGTGTGTGACACTATTTATGTGCAAGCCACAGACTCAAATTGATATTTACCCTTCTGGACAGAAATATTTTTATAATTAAACATAAGAACAAAGCATTGAGCATTACCTGACCATCGAGTTGCTTAGCAACAGATGTTGATCTTTTAAGAACTTCCTCCTGTATGCGGACATCGTTATCATTGTAGGCTCGGAGAAGCAAAGGGAGCACATGCGATACAAGATGCTCGCTATCAGTCTGAAAAATTACACAAAAAGAAAATATAAGCCATGTAAGGATCTCGTCCTGTATGCAATACGCAAAAAAAAAAAAAAGGAATATAGATTTCAATGCAAATTTACAACTAGTATTCATAAACAAGCAGCCAGACAAAAATCAATAAGGAAGCTTTCAACCAGATTACCAAAATTAAAAGACAATTCAAAAATAGATGTAACTAGAGGAATTGATGCCCTGTATGCATCAGTCTATGACAGAACAAAGATTATCTATAGAGTTTCTGCGCAGTAATTTACCAGTGCAAGTACATCTGTCATAGGGAACCATATCGTTTTCACTGATTATACTTTCCCATTGTATCCAATCATAACTTAAGAAGAAGGAAAAACATTTGCAGGGTAAGAAAAACATAATGCAGTGACGCATACACATTGATCAACTTTACCTTGTTAGTAATAAGCTCTGCATGCTTTACAAGCAACAGTAATGTATCTCCAGAAGCAGTGCTCAGAAGAGGAACAAGAGCGGGCAGTGTCATCAACTCAAAGTCATTCCTATCCTGCAAATGTAATTTATCAGGTTGGAACATTTAATTATTTAGTAAAACACCACTGCTGACAAATGTATGATGAAAGACCACTCCATCGCTAAGGAAACTTCGAATTTTTGTACAAAGTTACAGGTTTATAAATAACTTAATAAATTATCCAACAACAAACACCATCATCTGCTGAACTAAAAACAATTTAGCGAGAAGCTTTGCTCGGATACAAGTACAGTAAGTGACCTTGAAACCTATAAATTAACAACAATCTAGTGAATAAACACATGGGACTCTGATTATTGAATTTAAATATACCTGAGACTGTGCTATAATTAGAACCATTGGCAAGATCATTGGTTGCAAAACCAAATTCCGAAGCTCAGCACAAAGAGGTGGAAGCACCTGCAATTCATGAAAAAAATCTGGTTCCCTTAGTTGTTGCATCAAAATATTTTTTCTATCAAGTCGCATTACAAGTCAGTAGAGTGACTTACCTTATACCGCAATACACGGGAATCAAAATCTTTCCACATATCTGATAATGCTTTTAAGAACTCGGACTTCTGCATGTTGTCTCTTTCCTGAAACAAAAGAGAAAAAGTGTTCCAAAAAGGTTATCAGATGTAGAGATACATACAGCCTGTTGAAACAAAGATGGAAAGTGTATATACGTACAAGCATGTGGTCAAGGAAACGAAGAGCACGTAACCTAGCGTCGCTTCGGAAAAAACTAGACCCTGCAGAGTGAAGGTTCAAGGGAAAGATGTGAGTAAGAAGCTGAAGAAATCAAGAAACATCATCAAGATTATGTTCTCTTTACCTGTGAAATCTAGTGCCGTTGGTCTACAGGTTTCGTTCATAGATAGCATTCTTTGCAAATCAGGTACCAAGTCAGAAGGTATAGATGAGAAAGATTCATTTGTTATATAGTTCAACGTGTTCAGGTACTGCAAGTAATTTCAAGATAACCATCATCAACTATTGGGAATCCAAATAAAACTACTCCTAAGATATAAAGCATGAGACAATATGGCGCAGGCAGCATATATCTCAAGGTCCAAAGTAGATTTTGAAAGTTACCATTTTGACATTGTTATTGCAATCTAACAATGGTTTCCTCGCAACCAAATGATAGGCAAGGCATCCAAAACTGAAAATGTCTGAAGAAACTCCAGCTGAAGGATTTTTACTGCGTACAAGTTCAGGTGCAGTGTAATTTAAGGATGGCTGGACCGGCAGTATTGAATCCTCAACATCATACTCCTGGACAGTCAACAACAAAGAAAACCATCGTATCCCGCTTGTACATTTGAATAAAAGGAAAGAAGTCTAGTAAACATATAAAAGTTCAAACTCACAGAATAGTGGAAAGACTGCGTGTTATCTAAATTCCCAGCCTGTGCTGTCGAAATAGCAAAACCAAACCCGGCAAGCTTCCAGGAACCAGATGAAGTAATGAGAACATTCTGCAAGGAAGTTACAAACTCTACATGTTCATTAAACATATACATACAACTTATAAGAAGACAAGCAAGTATGACTACGTAACAAAATTTGAAATTTAAACCTCGGGAGATATGGCTCGATGTACGAGTTGCGCATTACTGTGGAGAAAGTTTAGTGTCTCTGAAATCTGGAGCAGACCATGCTTCACCTCTAACAAACTCATCTCCTACACAATTACATCAAAGAAAAAACAAATCAGCCTTAGATTCAAAGATCACCTAAATGCAGACATTGAGTTGAAACACAGCAAACAACAGAATAGAACTATTGATTCTGGAAGTGACTTAAATCTCGGAGCACCCACTAAATCCCACACTAGGTTAATTAATTTTCCTCTGAGTAAAATTTTTGGGTTTTAAAGCAGTACAAATATGGATGTAAAATGCTGTAATTTATTTATTCACACAATCAATATACAAACTCTAAAAACCTGTCTAAGGACATGATTAACTCTCATCTCTTAGCCGGGTTCTTAATTTATGATTTATTTATTTACATTTTATACTTTTTGGATAAGATACAGCTTTTATATATCTTATTTAAGAGATGGTTCTTAGCTAAAATCTAAGAAAAATTAACAACCGTCTCTTATCCGAAGCTAAGAACGTCTTTTACCCGAATCTTAACTGGGGTTAATCATTGTCTAAGTTTCTAGCATTCTTCGCGAAAACAAGAACGTCTATATACTAAAGAGAGGACAAGAATCCTCACCATTGACTTCAGCTCCTTCGGCACATCACCAACATTCTCAACATTCCCAAGCACATTCGCCACAGAAGCAAACAACGGCTCAGTAACCAAAGCCATAGCATTCTTATTCTCATCAATCCCCTGCACCACATGCACCACACCAGGATGCCTCAACCTCACCAGCTTCCCCGCATCCCTTCTTACCAGATCAAGAAACGCCTCCTCACCCGCCTTAGACAGCCCCGCTCGCACACGAGCCTCCGCCAAAGCGCGCTTGTCAAGCATCCATACGCAGACGGTAGGATACTGCTGAGACCGCGTGGCGTCACGCGCCTTGGCGGAGTAGAGCTTCCAAGCGAGTCCCGGGCCTGCGGAACCGATCTGGTGGAGAAGCTCGTAGTCCTGGAGAGGTTTGGGGCCTGTGACTTCTTGCACTGTGGTGTGGACTGTCTTTTCGATCACTGCCGCGGTTCTGGCTAGTGCTTCGGTGAATGTTTTCATGTTTAACGACATTTTCTGTCGGGACAAATGTTTGTCGGGGATCAGACAAGAGGATCTGCAAACAAAGTAGCGGGATCGAGGAGGAAGGAAAGAGGATGGTGGATAGAAGGACAAGTCTGGATCGAAAGATCAGATCGTCTTCTTCTTCCTCCCTCACCTCTCTCAGGCAACTTGTCTGTTTGGTTTAATTTTTTTCCCTTAATTGCAACCCAACAACCATCTTTTTAGAATTATTTTCTCACATTTTTAATTATGTTATTTTATTTTTATTTTATTATGCTAAACTAGTCCTTGTCCTTGTCTTGACATGAAAGTAACATTATTAACTTTTAATCTCAAAAATAGCTACTTACTGTCAACGATTACCAGTACTTACCACTAGGAGTAGGAAGACACTTTGCCATGTAATGACTACTGGTTCAGATTTGATTCGGGTCTAGTTCGAGTTTTAAGCTTTCTAACTCGGGCTTAAGTGAACAAAAAAATATTTGAAATAGTGGGCTACCATATCAGAGAAGAGGCTGAATCGTTCTCTGCCTGCGCTCTGCGCATAAGCCTTTAATAAACGAAGTCCACGAAACTACATTCTTATCAAACACTGGGTTTCCCGCATTTTGTATTCATAGAAATGAGATTGGTTAGCGAGTCATGTGAATCAAGAACAAGAATAGGGAGATGCAGAGAGCAATGTGGTGGTGTGTAAACTGATGCCATATAGCGGAGTCTGCGTTGCTCAACACATGCTTGAAAACAGAGCAACTTAAGCCTTATGGGACTGGAAGCTTACTCACCTACGCAAATTTACTAGCAAGTTTCCTTTTAAAATAAATTAAAATTAAAATTTTATAAAATATATTTTATTTTTCCTTTTTTTTTATGTTATAGTTTTTTTCTATAAAGCCATAGCTATGGCTTAGTAACCCTAAAGCAATAGCGGCGACGACCTCAAAAGCTCCACCGACCCTTCTCTTTCTTCTCCAAAGTTTCCAACATCATGGAAGGGAAGGAGACTAGCAAGGATCTTCTTGAACTAGAACACAAGAACCCATCTTCTTTCCCCTCCTCTGCTCTCGATTCAGCACTTTTGTTCCGTAAGGAGACCAAGAAGAAGGAAGAGAAAGCTCCATCAAAGCCAACGATAGCTCCACTTCCCAAAAGCGAGTTTCTCGACAAAGTCAAAGGCTTCCTAGGTGTCATGGCCGAAGCGAACAAAAAGTTGGAGAAAGAAACAGAAGAAGGAAACTCTGAAGCTTTTGATATCGAAGCGCTTACGGGAAACGAATCTCAAGTTATAGAGATGGATTTGATGCTCGGAGTAGCTGATCTCAATACGCCTGAAGCAGTTAAGGCTGCTGAAGCAGCTATTGCTGGGATTAGTTTGGTTAATCAAGAAAGCAGCGATGAGAATGATAGTGAGGACGAAGATGAGAAGAGCTCTTTGGGTGAAGAAAGTAAAAGAAAACAAAACAAGATCGTTGAACTATCTTAAGATTATTTTTTTTGCGCTTCTCGAGTTCTATATTTTATATGTAACGCTTACCAAATGTTATCATTGAGAATCATTCATCAGTTATGTTTTGTCTTGGACTCTATTACAGAAAATTTTCATAATTTAGAGTTTAGATATTTGATAAAAATGAGGCTAAGTAATAATGAATGCACATGTCATCATAGCCATTGACAGAGTATATTGAATCTTATCGGGTAGAACTTAGCCCAAATTAGATGAAATTTCAAGAGAATTAACACCAAGAACTTAGCCGATTTTGAAAGACTCTCAGTTGCTTGACTCGGCGCTCCTTTCGCAGATACGGACGATCAAAAGAAGTTCTCGATGATTATGAATTTATGATGATGGGCTTCAGACAAAGGTGGGGTTGAGACATATTGGGCTTATTACAACCATTATAAGATAAAGAAATGGGCCAAGATTCAATGGTTGAGAGAGGCCCATTTAATAAAGGAGTCAAAACGATTCTCACGCCGACATTATGGTCAAAGGAGTTTACAAGTCAATTTCTGGCCTTCTTCGGACAAAAGCAGTGTACTTATGTTTTTGGATTAAACTATTAATTAGGGACTAGTTACGTACACCCAAAAATAGGAATCCAGCTGCTTGCAACTCACGACCATTTGTATTATTAAGTCGCCAAAATAGGAATCCAGCTGCAATTCACCACCACTTCTTTCACATTCACGCACACGCTCATCGCTCTTTCTCTCCATGTTCATTTTCAATAGGAGGAAGGCCCAATTAACGTCTTGTATTGTTGAGAACCACACTTTTATCTTAATTTAACTCAACTAATCAGCACCTTAATATATCTATAAACACTACTTATTTGAATATTAATGTTCAACGCATTTTTGTATGTATACATTATTGTAGCTTTCACTAGGATGAGTGTTTTTGGGGTTCGATTCATTGTTTTCTCTCAACGCGTAAGACCCATGTTTAGTGTTTACACTAAAGAAACCAAATTACAAAATAAATAACAATAGGGAAAGAAGAAGAGATTTCTATTCTTTTTCTTTCCTCTCATTCTTACGTACGGTTGAGTTACAAGTACGAATTATTTTGTATTACAATGCTTGTCTTGTCAGAAATATAAGACAAAATGAAGTCGGTGGTCTAAAGAAACTTTTTTGTTGTCGCCTGATTCTAACTTTCTGAAACTCACAGACGTACATGTATCTTTATAGAGTTGGAAGTAAATCTTTTTTGATAAAGATCAAAGTAACACATGTCTCAATAATATTAGTTTAACCTTTTATTCAGATTTATCTGTTTCTGTCTCCATTCATGTTAACTTTTTATCTGCTGTCTTTCCCTACAAAGAAAACAAAAACATACCTCTTTTTCAAACCACGACCATTCTCTCCTACGCTCTTCTAAAGCAAATAGATGTCACTTTATCATGTATTTGTGATTAAACCTTAAACATATACAGTAATTAAGTGCTTTAATTATATGGAGTTATTGATTATGTGAGTTTCAGACATATATTTGAAAGCCTAGACCTGTTTTTTTTTTAAAAAAAAATCGGTCAAAACGATTGTTTTCTTTAGTTTCAATTTATCGAACGTTTAGACCAGTGCCGGTCCTAAAAATATAAAGATCGGAAGCAAATTGGAAATTAAGGCCTATTTATTAAAGGTCACTTGAGAAAAAAAATCTTCAATGCAAATAGATAGGAAAAATCAAATAACTTAGACCATGATTAACTTGAAGTTTTTAAGGTGGGGTTGTTAGTGGAAGTCAAGAAATTATTTCTTAATTTTGACTAGAAAATCTAAGAACCGATTTTTAAAGTTTTTATTTAAGAACCGATCATTAATTTTTTTAATTAAAAATTAAGAAACAGTTTTTAACTTTCGCTAAAAACCACATCCTAAAAACCCCAAGTTAATCATGCTTTTACCTATCCATTATATAATTACTATACAAACCGCTAGACTACTTGATACTTCTCAGATTTAATGGACGAACAAATACTTAAACCAAATAGGACAGGAAGCCTAGGCTTCTTATATTACTTGACATTTTTTTAAACGAATTGGCGTTTTGTTACTCTATGGTCTGCAAAAAGAGACTTGAATTTTTTTTCATTTTTTTAGGTGAGTCATGTGTTCTAAAACTCAGTCTAGACCAATATTGGCTTTAAGGAACGTATTAGAAGCCTAGGCTTCCGGTCCTAGCTTTAAGGAAGGTATAAGAAGCCTAGGCTACTTGATACTTCTCAGATTTAATGGACGAACAAATACTTAAACCAAATAGGACATGAAGCCTAGGCTTCTTATACCTTCCTTAAAGCTAGGACCGGAAGCCTAGGCTTCTAATACATTCCTTAAAGCCAGTATTGATCTAGACTGAGTTTTAGAACACATGATTCACCTAAAAAAATGAAAAAAAATTCAAGTCTCTTTTTGCAGACCATAGAGTAACAAAACGCCAATTCGTTAAAAAAAATGTCAAGTAATATATGAAATAGTTAGAACATTCTCAATGTATTACTTTTTATTTTCTTTTCAAAACTAGAGTAATTATATAAGGTAGTCAACCGTATTCCATTACAGAGTAAATACTTCATATCTGAAATAGATACCGATTAATTTTGGATTTTTGGTTCGGATCTTTGGTTTTCAATTCTTATGTCCAGGCTGTAACTATTTATTAGCACAAAAAAAAACTAGCAATTTTTCTTTATTACTTCTTTGTAATTGACTTGGAAGAGTTTGATCCAGTGATCTTTGACATTAGTTTGAGGATAAATCCACTTTTTCCACCAACCGTTAGCATCACAAAGTTATGGAATGGATCATCAAAGGGTCCACATGTGATGCAAGAAAACCGCGTCTCCTGTAGCAAAATCAAATTTCATCCACTCTCTACTAGTCCCATTTCTTCACTACACTTCTTTTAAATTCTAAAACAAAATCCAGATTCTGCCTCCTACCTTTAGATACTCATTATTCTAATCACAATAATACTATCTTAGTGAATCTACAGTTCCCCATTGAGATACATATATGCAACACTTGTTAAACCCACAAACAACCTGTGAAGCTTCCTGGAAGCTACAATTTTAAAACCTTTGAGATATTATTAAACGTGTACATGCTTTTATCTGCTGTCTAAGATACTAATCCACACTTATAAATAACTGCTAGCAATTGTTAACATTCCAACATCAGAATCCAAGCAAACAAAATACACAACCAGCAAACATTTTGTGGAAAACACTTCTTTCTCTTAGTGTTTGTTCATGTCTGGTTATAGTAATTCCACTAACAATGCACAAGGTGATGGACAAGTTGGTATACCCTCTGCCTACAGAGGAGTCAGGAAGAGAAAATGGGGCAAATGGGTATCCGAAATCCGTGAACCGGGTACCAAGAACCGTATCTGGCTAGGGAGTTTCGAGACTCCTGAAATGGCTGCAGCTGCCTATGACGTGGCAGCATTCCATTTCAGAGGACGTGAGGCTCGTCTCAACTTCCCTGAGCTTATCAGCAGCCTGCCACGCCCTGTAGACTCCAGCTCAGACAGCATTCGCATGGCGGCTCATGAGGCAGCACTCTACCTCAGAACCCAACCAGTAGAGTCAGTCATGCAAGTGGACACCACAAGCTCCTCTAATGCTGGTCTAGCGATGGTCAGACTCTCCTCCAGAGAGATTCAAGCGATCAACGAGGCGACTTTGGGATCTCCTACCATGATGATGCATTCAACATATGATTCAATGGGGTTTGGCTATGATATGGGGATGAATGTTTGGGACACATACATGACTGAATCTCTTTGGGACCCTTAGTACTAAACTCATGGAGAGTTTCTACATCTTAACAATACTGGATTAATACCAGCTTAAGTCAGTTTCTAGCACAAGGGTTGTTGATTGTGACGTTATAGCAAAGAATAAAGCTCACCTAAGTTTTGGAGGGAAGAGCTTGATGGGTCCCAGGCATGGATCTCTTCACCAATATTTTGAAATTTATTTGTCACTAGTAGATGCATAGCTTCTATTTTATAAGCTATGTTAAAGATTGTGAGGTGTGACTTGTTTTATTATTTTTTCCAATTCTTTGTTACCCTATATGCTTATGTAATTCTTTGTTCAGTAACTTTGATTTGATTTGGTATTATGTTGTATGGATTCCTGAAAATTATAAGATGTTTATTATTCTAACAAGACTTTTATTTTTATCATGACTTTCTTTCTTTACCGAACCCATTGACTAATCTTAAGAAAAATATATATATATTTCATACAGAAAGATTCTTTATAGTTTGATGAAGTTCCATTTTCTGGAACCAAAAAATTGCTTGTCAGCTATTCAAGACTGAAAGTTATGGTACTTTCATATAAGGCCTACAACGGTTTGAAGCCCAAATAGGTTAGTTTTGAAAATATAGGCCCTATATAAAAATTGTGGCTCTTCTTCTTCCCTCGTTAGCCACTTCTCTCTTCCTTTGTGTGGACAAATGCATCCTCTACTCTCTTAACCTCTCTCTCACTCTCTCGTCCATGGCGAGCACCGCATCTACGTCTCTCCTACGTAACTACTCCTTCCGATTTTACTCTCACTTACCGGTTGGACCAGATACTACCAGAGGAGTGGTGTAATCCGTAAAAATAAAGAAAGTCTAATAACAATGCGAAATAATAAAGTTAAACAACGCATAAATTTAATATGATTCATCAAATTGGTTACATCTATTAATAAAAAGAAAAGAAAAGTTATTATTAAATGCTGAATATATTTTCTGGATTACATTAGAATTTTAAAAACATCAAATATTTAAATATAAAGTATTTTGGGTTGAAGTGATAAAAATAACTAAACTGAAAGCTGCAAGTTATACCAAATTTAAGGTATATCGGCAAAGGGTCAAAGCATATCAACAAAGGGTCAGTGTAGATAGTGAAACGAAGATAGTTGATTGTATTCAAATTGGGTTGCTCTTAAGTGAGTGAGATATTCCGAGCGTGAGGTATCTTTACAGTTTGTGTTTAATTTGTGTACAAATAACAATAAGTAAAATCGACCACAAAACCCCCTTCCATATCTTTATATCCTTTTGTTCGTTTTATGTATGCAGAACGTGACAAAGACGAAAACACAGCAACTTTCGTCTTTTAGTCAAACTCAGAAGGATTTTGAAAGGAAGGCTCACCATATAAGACTATATGATGAACGTCATCCGTGATGAATAGTAACACAAACTTCAAAAATAAAATAAAGAGAGGCAAGTCTCATGTGTTTTCACCACCTGATGTCGTGATATACATATAGGTCATCAGCCGATTCAGCCGTAATATATAGTCTTCCGTTACGTGCATGTTACACCTAGTTCCTTTTTTTTTTTGCGGCGAATAAATTTGTTTTTTATATGATCATGTAAAATGGTAAAATAAAGTCATGATTCTGACTAGCAGAAAATATAAAAGCTTTATGATGCAAAGAGATAATTCATTCACAAATCAGTCTAAGATCTAAAAATATTTATGATGAATTTTGCACCAATTTTTATCGCCATTTTATTAAGATTTTTCTACTAGATTATTACTTTTTATATATCAAACATATATATGAGAATCATGTTTTTTTTCTTTTTGAGTAAATCATATCAATTTGATCACACAGTTTTAGACCGGCTACTAGATTCAATCAATCATGCATTATGTTCTTATGTTGAAATCTCAAACGTTTATCCAAATAACTATAGTTGATGTAAACTTAAACATGTTGAGAAACGCCCATAGGATCGGACCATACTTGGAAAAGAAAACATCAACCGTGTCAGCAACATGTCAATATCACATATTCCCCTGGTCTTACCTATGACTATTATTATTATTATTTTATTTTCCTCTAACCAATAGTAATCTGATATAACTTTCTTTTCCTCCTACGTATTTATATTCCACACTTTCTCTCAAGATCATCAACTCAAAAATGGATTCAAGAGACGCTGGAGAAACTCATCAGGCCAGGTACAAAGGCATCCGACGTCGGAAATGGGGAAAATGGGTGTCAGAGATTAGGGTTCCGGGAACTCGTGAACGCCTCTGGTTAGGCTCTTTCTCCACAGCTGAAGGCGCCGCCGTAGCTCACGACGTTGCTTTTTTCTGCTTGCACCGACCATCTTCCCTGGACGAAGAAGTTTTTAACTTCCCTCGTTTGATCCAACCTTCCCTTGCCTCTAACACATCTCCTAAGTCCATCCAAAAAGCTGCCTCTAACGCCGGTATGGCCATCGACGCTGGATTGGTTGTTAACAACGAGGGTGGGCGTGGTGGCGGCATAGATAAATCGTCGAACGAAAACATGGCGGAATATAGCGAAGGTGGAGCGTTGAGCATATCCGTGTACGATTATTTAGATGACGATCGCATTTAACTTTAAGCACCTTATTATGTTAGCAGTTAATATTTGTTGTCAATAGATTTTTTTGTTAGTTCTGCATTAGTTTTCATTTCGCATGCTTAATTTTTTATTTATGGTGTATTAGTTGTCATCAATTAAAAAATAAATTCTTTTATACATGATCAGAGTTGATTCATATGCCCATTAAAAGTTTGTTTGTTTGGTTATGTGCAAACTTGAGTTAAATTTTCTCTATTTGAATTGGAGATCCAAGATATTAAAGGCAAAGAGTACTCCATGGAGATTGAAGATATTAAAGTTGTAAATGGTAAATATGAAGGAGATTCATGAAATATATAAAAAAAGTTCTCATTTATTTTATCAAAATAGATATATTTTTTTTGGGCAACTTTTATCAAAATAGATAAATAGAAATTCTAATGGAATGTTTTTTGAATTATATTTATATTTCAGAATTGATAGAACGATCATTTCATTCAAAGAAAATTATAAAATATTTTATATATTAATAGAAACATCACTTTGTCTCATAAGATGACAATCCATTTGTAAACTTGCAAGATAGGAGTTTGTTGAAAAATAGCAGAATTGTCTTCAAGAAGAAAATAAAAACTATCAGGGTTAATCTGACTGATGGATTACGTGCTTTCATTGGAAATTTGTAGTAGTGAATCATGCATATCTGATATAAGCATGATTATGGATTATGGTTATATATGATCCAATATTTCAATTTTATTCATATTTATATTCTAATACATGTCATATTATAATTACTTAATACATATATATATATATATATAATGAACTTTGAATTCATGAAATTTTGTTTAAATCCTAGTTGTATAAGCTTACATTATGATTCTATATTTACTAAGACTTTGAGAAATATGATCTAGTTCTGCATAAAAAAAAAATATTATTCTCTCTACAATTTTTAAAGGGTGTATGCAATCTATAATTTAAATCGATTTGTAATAAAACGACAAAATATTTGCTATTCAAAGCTAAATAAGGTTCAGAATATAATATTATGAAACTATATAATCTAAAATGCATATCTAAATAAATCTTTCTTGTAAATAATTTAAACATCAAATTTTGGAAGATGTACGGAGTTTCAAGGTTTCGATAAAGGTTTTAGTTAAAAAAATAAAATATTCAAGCGTGATAGTTTTTTTTCCCATCAAGTCTAATAGTTTCATTATTGCCAAGTTTATCAATATACATACAGATATATAATTATATTTGTATTTTATTATGTCACCCTTTCTAGATAAAATAATAATGTGATCAGATTTGAAACTTTGCTCTTTTTGACCACATAAAATTATAGCTCCAAATATTTGAAAAGTTTAAAACCAAAATTCTGAAATGTCTGTTATTGGATTTCCAAATTGTAAGGGCATATTAATAATGATGTCATTGTAATACTTGAAAGGCTGAAATCGAAAGTAATTCGTATACACAAATTGAAAGTTTTGCATAGATCAAGACAAAAGTTTATGATTGTTTCTATCTGTGATGTCAGTAACGGGTTAGATTACCTCCACCAGAGAATAAGGCGACAAAAAAATGTTGATTGCCACAAAATAAATGATTGTCGGGTTTTTAAAATGTAAATGGGCCCATTGAACGAAACCAATGAGACTCAGTCAAGAAAATAAAACCAGGAGGCTATCAAGTTGACAAAAAGACATTGAGTGGCACGCACGTTACATTTTTAAATCACAAAAGAAACTCACAAAAACGTGAGACTGAAAAAGACCGAAAGAAAAAAACAGTTTTGGTCGCCAGAACGGAGAAGAAGTAGATAAAAAGCAAATCAGCAATACTAAGTTTATTTCGTTTCCATTATACTTCAAAGTTTGAATGATTATTTGTTTGTAATATGGGTTGCATTTGCGCCACCGCGCGTTCTAAAAACACCGCCGTTGCCAACAATGACTTACTCGATTCAAGCAACTCCATCATGCATCTCATCCCTCCCTCTTCCTCGTCTTCTTTATCCAAGAAGGAAGGATCTCTCACACGTCAGACTTCTGCAGCTTCCATCACCGTCGTGGCTAATTGTAATTGTTATCCAGTGGTGCGTCATCCAACGTCATCTGATCGTAGCAGCAGCAGCACCAAGAAGGCAGTTACTGTGGGATCTATGGCCAGGAACCCCATCAGAAGAGTCACGGCTATGCCGGTAGTGCAGCCTATGCAGCAGCCGAGGCCTTTGACCGGGAATAAAACTGAGCCAAGTAACGGAGAATGGCCGTCTTGGTTAGCTTCTGTAGCTGGAGAAGCTATCAAAGGATTGGTTCCTCGCTGCGCAGATACTTATGAGAAGTTAGAAAAAGTAAGTTAATCATTCTTTTTTCTGCTTACTTGCAACGCAAGAAAACATCCTTTTTGTGACCTAAAACAGCAGTTTTATGTTGTGTGTATTGTTATAGATTGGACAGGGGACCTATAGCAATGTTTACAAAGCCAGAGACCTAAAAACTGGAAAGATCGTGGCGATGAAGAAAGTTAGGTTTGTGAATATGGATCCAGAGAGTGTTAGGTTCATGGCCAGGGAGATTCTCATTCTCCGTAAGCTTGATCACCCTAATGTCATGAAGCTTGAAGGTCTTGTCACATCAAGACTCTCAATTAGTCTCTACCTTGTTTTTGAGTACATGGAACACGACCTCGCTGGTCTAGCCGCAACTCCTGGAATCAAATTCTCTGAATCTCAGGTATTAAATTACATACTTTTATCTTCCTATATAGACTCATTACAAGTTTGGTACATTCAAGTGACAAGAGAAGAGTCTTAACTTTGTTTTCAGATCAAATGCTACATGCAACAACTGTTTCGTGGACTTGAACATTGCCACAGGAGAGGAATCCTCCACCGTGACATCAAGGGAGCTAATCTCTTGATTAACAACGAAGGTGTTTTAAAGATCGGTGACTTTGGCTTAGCGAATTTTTACCGTGGTGATGGAGATATGCAGCTGACAAGCCGCGTTGTAACCTTATGGTACAGAGCTCCTGAGCTGCTTCTCGGTGCTACTGAGTATGGACCAGCTATAGATCTGTGGAGTGCCGGTTGCATTCTCGCTGAGCTCTTTGCTGGAAAGCCTATTATGCCAGGGCGCACTGAAGTAATCCAACTCTCTATTTTCATAGCCTCTATCTTGTGGAACACGTTTTGTGAGATACTTATTTTTTTTTGGCTTCTCAGGTGGAGCAGATGCACAAGATCTTTAAGCTATGTGGTTCACCTTCGGAAGATTACTGGAGAAGAGCAACACTGCCACTTGCAACAATTTTTAAACCTAGTCACCCTTACAAGCCTGTTCTTGCTGAAACCTTTAGTCATTTCCCTGCTTCAGCTATGACACTCATCAATAAGTTACTTGCAATAGAGCCTGAGAAACGTGGATCAGCTGTTTCTTCCTTGAGAAGCGAAGTAATCTATTGATAGTAGCCCTAGAGCATGCTTGTTAAACAAGTTATTAGACTCATTCTCATGATCAGTTTTTTTTCTCTTCAGTTCTTCACCATGGAGCCACTCCCTGCTATTCCATCAAGCTTGCCTACATACCCACCAAGCAAGGAGCTTGACGCTAAGCTTCGTAACGAAGAAGCAAGAAAGTAAGGCAACTTTTGCTTCTCTCTTTAGGGTTTAGGGTTTAGGGTTTTATTCAATGAATCTTTGTGTGGCAGACAAAGGGAAGAGGATAACAAGAGAAGAGGGGGAGAGACTGTGACGAGAGTACAACCAAAAGATGTCAAAAGTACTCAGACACCTGAGTTTATGGTGGCAGGGCAGTCTAAGATCACATGCATAAGCCATAAGTTCAAAACAGACGAGGAAGGTGGAACCGGGTTTAGGATTGAACCACCTAGAAAAGGGATTCAGCAGAAAGTTTATGCGCATTCTTCTTCGATGGTTCATCCAAGTGTTGCTGATACAGAATGGAACAAAGGTGGTGGAAGCATCAAAAGACAAACTACAGCAGAGCTGAAGTCTAGGATATCACAATCAGGAAAATTGTCTGGTGATTCCAACAGAGATTACTCAACCGTAAGCCTCACGTTTCCTTGATAGGTATTCTGTATGTATTAACCTTTTGGTACGTAACTGTTGAGTTTTTTTTTGGGGCTGTGATCAGGGAAACGCGCCAAGGAAAAACAGAATCCATTACTCAGGACCATTGATGCCTCCTGGTGGAAATCTTGAAGAAATGTTGAAAGAGCACGAGAAGCAGATCCAACAAGCTGTCCGAAAAGCCCGTGTTGAACAGTCTGCATCGAATAAAACAAGGCAGCAGCAGCGTTACACAGGAAGAGATGCTCGGTAGCTGAAGAGAGAGGGAGAGAGTAAGGAACAAGAGGAAGAATTTCAACAACATAATAGCACATGTTTTTGCCCCGTCTGTGCGTGAAGCTAGAGATTGATGCATTCATGCAGTGTATATATAGTGTGAGCTTTGTTTTCTTAGGCCAATGAGATTGAGCACACTCTAATTTCAAACTTCTACACAAGATCTCTCATACTGAGTGGAGAGTAAAGCAAACATGTATTTGCTAGCTAGCAAAAGTAACTCCAAATAGTGTTCAAATCTCTTAGGATCTTTTATACTTTAGTATTTTTAATATTGATGGTTTTTAAAAAAAAATCATCGAATTGTGTATGGATTTTACTAGTTTTGTATATTTTCTAACTTATTAAATTTGGTTATAAGCTGTGAAATTTAACTTTTAAATTACCTTTTAAAATGGTATATGATTTGTTGACTTTGTAAGTATTTATTTATGATATATTTTCTAATCCTTCAGTCAAGAACTGTCTTCCGAATTGCTTCTGCATATCCGTGAAGGCTTCTACGTGCTTTGGCCCGAGACTGCGACGGACAAAAAGGCATGTAAAATCAACTTACAAAAGAACTTGCTATGGGGCTATGGTCCACCGCTGCTTCTGAACTTGCAAATTTTTAGCATTTTTTTGCTCTTTTCTTTTGGAGTCTATTGATTTTCCACCGCAGTTAAAGAACTAAATGTCTGTGTAGAATCCAAAGGTTTTTCTTTTGGATTGTAATTGAACATCTGAATAATGTGATTGACTTTCCGTATTTTCGCTGTTGAGTTTGTATCATATTCGTATTCACCATCCTTTAAAACGTAATAGGCGACAGTGCTAGTGTTTTTCTTAAAACATAAGATATGGCAAAAACATATACATATCTTAATCTTAATTATATGTTTCACAATGTATTGAAAGACAGCAAAACAGAAGCAAATTACATAAAATTCTCAAAAATATGTATATGTAATATGTTTTCGCCATGGTGAAGAACCAACGTTCCAGACTATAGGCTCCACTGATGTAATAGACATGTAATAGTGTCTCTGTATGCACATACAATAAAACTCATATAAATTAATACTCGATAAATTAATAATTTTTATAAATTAATAAATTTCAATTGTTTCAGTTTAGGTGGGTTCTAAATTTAACACGAAACAATAAAATAATAAGATAATAGTTTTCAAAAAATTCTATGTAAATATATGGTCTCATTAAAATTATAGACATATAAATAAAAATCTATCAATATAATGTTTGTTTTATATTCACTAGCTATGAGATTATCTTTATATTTTTCTTAACATTTAATATATTTTTGATCAAATTTAGTAATTAAATCTAAAATCATATTTAATTGTATGCACTATATTTTATATATACCAAATAATATAATAAACTTAATATAACCATCAAATTTCAAAAAAAAAAAAAATTAATATCTATACACTAAAATCAAATATTTTTTCTTAAAATAAACAATTTTAAATAAGTAAATTTTTAAAAATTAATATCTCTATAAATTAATAAAATTTCAAAATCTCACATTATTAGTTTGTAGAGATTCTACTGTAGTTCTTTTAATCGCTTAACTTTAACACAAATAGTTTGTAACTGCTATATTACCATTTACTAACTTTTTAAACTTTGGTCCTATAAGGTGATGACACCAAAGCTTATATTAATTGTCACAACTATTACTATTGTTAGTATCGACCAATCAAATTGAGACACACACCATATTATCAAACCACCACATGGAAAGACTATAATCTTTTTGTCTCTTTGTCCCCTTAAGAACACAATTCTTTCATGTGATGTTGTGAACTGTAACGCCTCCTCACTTAAACAAGTCAGATTATCTATCACAATATCTCTCAACATCCACCACAATGACCACTAGTCTCCAGCTTCCTATCACCATGAAACTCATTCTCTCTAGCTTAGTTTCTTTCCTCATTGTCACTGTCTTCTTCATCACCAAAACAGACTTCTCAACGTCTTCATTCCAGCCAGTGTTAGACAAAACTATTCTAATCTCCAACTCCTCCACCAAAACTAAAGTACACAACCTAGAGTCCGTGAGTTGCGGTAAGATCCCTCCTTCACTCGCAGACGCTCTCATCCACTACGCCGCCTCTAATACCACTCCTCAGCAAACACTCTCCGAAATCTCCATCACCAAGAAGGTACACACAATTGCTTTTTATATTCCTTTTTTATTCAAAAAAAAAACACACACACAAGACTAACAAAAACAACATCCAATGGTTTGTATTAGTTAGAGTCGGTCATGGGTCAAGCATTTTGAAATAGTCGCCTCAGATCCCGAAAATTTTATATGTACATAGGCCACCAAAGAAAAATTTTTAGGACCTTAAATTAGTTTTAAAAAAAATTAGCTAAAGTTTTTTAAAAAATTGCTTAGGATCCCCAAAATCTCAGAGTCTGTCCTGGTAGTGCATAGTGTAACATAACATTGCATCAGGTCTTGGACAAGACATCACCGTGCAACTTTCTCGTATTTGGTCTTGGCCACGACAGCTTGATGTGGACGTCTTTAAACCACGGAGGAAGAACTATCTTCTTAGAAGAGGACGAGTCATGGATCCGCAATATTACTGAGCACTTCCCTTCTCTTGAATCATACCACGTACGGTACGATACCAAGGTAAGAAATGCGGCGGCTATGTTGTCGACGGCGAGAGAGAGTGAAGAGTGCCGTCACGGTGTGTCGATGGATCTTAGGGCTTCTAGGTGCGAGCTTGCGCTTAAGAGCTTACCTAAGGTGGTTTACGAGATGGAGTGGGATTTAATCATGGTGGATGCTCCCACGGGGTTTCATGAAGAAGCTCCGGGGAGGATGTCGGCTATTTACACGGCGGGGATGATGGCGAGGAGTCGGAAGAGAGGAGAGACGACGGCTGTTTTTGTTCATGATGTTGATCGGCCGGTGGAGGATGAGTTCACTATGGAGTTTTTGTGTAGAGATTACATGACGGAGGAACAAGGAAGGCTCCGTCATTTCACGGTGCCTAGTCACCGGAACTTTAATATCGCCGGTGGTAAATTCTGTCCATAATCGGCCGACTATAGATATTGTTTGTTTTCCTATTATTATATGTATTAATGTTTATATCAAAATATCAATTAATTAAGCAAAGGCAGTACTAGTAGATATGATATGAGTTGGACTGTTTGGTGATTAAATTTGATGTTTTCAAAACGTCTCAAAAGGAAAAGGACTTGACTACGTTTTGATATGATTGAAATTTGAAACTCAAAAACGTTACAAAAGCAAAGTCGCTGGAAGTGGAAAGCCATTACGAAATCGTTGAGCTACTGAAAGATTAGTAAAGTGCTTAATCAGTTCAACTAACACAAAATCGGGTTTTTTACAAAGGACTAGTTTGTCAAGCTTAGAATGTAGAAGCATTTCAACATATTAAAAAATAAAAAGGTAACAAGAGAAACGTTGCATTCAAACCGTCGATATTCTCAATGATGTTTAAGCTTTCAAGTAAATTATGTCGAAGATGGGAGCACAAAAATGTCAAAAGCAACAAAATAAGGTTGTACATGTAGGTTTTAGCATCTTGATTCTTGATCTACTTATTTGAAGGTTGACTTTATGTGTTTGACTTCTCAGATTGTGTGATGAAAGGATATAAATGTGAGACCCAATAAATGGTAGTCCTGTCGTATGATTAGTCACTTTAATAGTTTTCACATCAGTACATTTGTTTCAGATTTCATGACATTATCAGTTTGGGATGAGTCAAATAAATTTCGATTTTGTGTTGAAATACTACTCTCCATTCTTATCCATCGATAGCATTTTCACAGATAACAATGTAAATACAATGAAAAAAAGAGGCTAGGCATCCTCAGTTAAACCCAAACCATATAATCCATAAAATCCAAACATAGATAGCATGAGTTTAAGTACACACCACACTTGTAGTCATTTCATTGCTCACACCAACAAATTAAAAACAAGAGGAAAAAAAAAGTTACAAATAGGGTTTTCAACAGCCTCGCAAAGTTCCACAGGCTTTATTATAATTATGTGTGATATAACAGCACTAATTATACTTACCAAGATTATTTGAATTTGTAGGACATAGTCTTCAAATATCTTATGGTCTAGAACTGAAATATTTCACTTGGCATGGTTAGCGGATATGAATAGTTAGTCTCCACAGTTGGGAAGTTAGCAGCTAATATGCTATTGTTGTTCTCCTCTATCTGCATTATTTCACCAACACAACACAACAAGAAATCAAAATCATCAGAGAAAAGCAGTTTAAAGATCATCGGAAGAAGATAATACATTTGTTTAAATTCTGCTATAGATCTCCAATTTCATAAAATGTGCTGTGATTAAAATTTCATAGGTAATTTTGTTACCTTTTCGAGGAGATACTTGTTGGCATTTTTGAGGACTCCTTCCTTCACACACACATTAAAAACCCGTTTAATAATGTTTAGTTTAACGTTTTATATTCAGCTTTTTATAAACCAACGTCATGAATCATACTAATTGTTATGAAGCGAATATACATGATGTTAGATGAGCTTACCTTGTTCCTCAATGACTGAATTTCTTGAAGCATAACCTCCATCTACAATTTTACATATAAACTTATTTTATTTAATAGAAACATATATATAATTTTCATTATCATCAATAGTATTTAATGTTCACTCTCTCTAACATTCTGATTGTACAACTATCTACGCAAGTATACCTTAGCAGAGCGGATATGAGAAATCCAATACTCAAGATGCTTCTCAAGCAGAAGAAGTTCTTCAAGATTCATTGCCCCATCTCCTCCTCCAAACATATACCTGAATCCATGTTTTTATATATATACATACGCTTATATCATATATGAGTGAATTCATAACCACATTTAAAAATTTAGCAAGAAAATAGTCTGTAAATAATTAATAATACACACCTTATTCCTTTCTGAAGCATCTCAATCTCTTGCTTGAGCACATTTACCTCACCTTTCGGATCCTAGACATAATCAACTTTCGTTCAGTGTTTCTCTTATTTTTTAAGTAATATTTGAAAGCACGTATAGAAAAATTGAAGATGTTTCAATTAGTGTGTCCATTCATATATGCATTAATAAATTAATACTAGTTCCGAGCGTGGCAGTGACAGCAGTTTAGGGCTACCTTTTCAAGTGTTCAGGGCAACTTTTTCAAAGGTTGCGCTGATTTATAAACCAATAATATTTCGTTCGATAAATAATGTGATTAAATTACTAAAAGATAAAGATGCATGGAGTCTATTTTAAAGTATGATATCTGGGTAGTAGTGTTGACTCCAAAGCATCTTTAACTTTAACAGTATTTTTTTGGGTAAGAATATGAATTTCTTTTACAGTAATTAATTGACTTGTTCTAATTACCTAAAAAAAAACTTGTTTTGTCGTAGAACGTTCCACAATATGTGAATGGCAGACACTAGTCGACAGATGAATAAATCGGTGAATGGGAGAGCTGGGTGCAATGAATGTTTACTTCACAACTATTAATTTCATGTAGAATCGGAATCAGGTGCGTTACCTAACTTTCAGACTATAATAATTCAAATCAATCAACAGCGTCCAATAGAGTTATGATTTGCATGCCAACACGTGTACCAAATAGCATATCAAATACTCCATATTTGTAGGGAAATGAAGAAAAACAAAACTAAAACTACTAAAAAGAAAATGGAAAAGTACTTAACAATGTTTATTTGTATTTCTTTTTAGTTAACAATTTTTATAAAACATAAAGCACGGCTATAGTTCCCTAATCAACTAAACAATGCCATAAACCCAAACAGTTTCAACAACTAATCCTCAAATATCAAAAGAAAGGTTATATATATAAGTAAACAATTAACTAAAGACTAAATATAAGATACGAGAGGGAGACGTACAAGATTTGGGGGTTGAAGTTGTTCTTGAGCAGTAAAAGTAGCAGAAGAAGAACCACGACCACCACCGGTACACTTCATGTACTTATCAATGATCCCTTCCATTGTTCTGGTTTAAAAAATATTCTCATTATATACAAGTTTGTATTTAATAACACATATGAGATATATAATAACTAATACCCTTTAGTAGCAAGTTCAAAGAGCTTGCCCTGCGGAGAAAAAATCACAACACCAATCTCGGCATCGCAGAGCACAGAGAGCTCCTTAGCCTTCTTGAGAAGGCCGGTTCTCCTCTTGCAAAAAGTCACTTGTCTGTGAACCGGGTTCTCGATCCTTTTCAGCTGAATCTTTCCACGAGCCATCTCTATCTGAAGGTGTAACGCTTGGATTTGTTTTTAAATTTGGATTTGGATTTTGTTTTGAAGTAGAACTTACGTGGATCAACCTCCCACTAGTTTGAACTAGCTTCGAGGTTCCCCACTTGGTGTTTGGTTTCTCTCTTTTCTTGGAAGAAAACTTTGTAGTTATTACCAAACTCATGCCAGCTTCTTCTCCTTATATATAAACTCCATTATCAGATGCTCTCATTCACTTTTCTGCTTCTTAAAGCACCTTTTACTCCACACAAGCCTCTTTTCTCTTATTTAAAATATGTGTGAGCAGTGCTATCATATAATGTTATATGTTAAGCATGCATTCATAAAAGTATATAGTTTTACATGTGAAAGCTCCATCTAGAGCATTGTTTGTTATTATATAATATGGGTTTGTATATTATACTAGACCTTTCTTTTCTAGCTTGTATACAATTAACTTCTAGGTTATACACGATTGATTGATCTTACATCGGATGTGACACATGACCTGACATGCACAAATTCATACAAAATTTAACTCCACTCATACAATATTTAACGATTTAATCATCTAAATATTTTTTTTGTTATCTAAATTTTCCACAAACTAAATTCAAAGAGAAAAAACATAGTTAGTCGAACAACAACAAATCTTCAAAATCAAACCTTTTGAAAGAGAAACAACATTAACGCTTAAACAAGTAAATAAAGCTAAACCACATATAGGTTATCTAGTGGTGAAACGAAATTTGGGAAGTAAAGAGATCCAAATTTAAATTAATTTCAGCAGTAAACATTTGTGATCACGAGGATCTTAGAACCTCATTTAAACACCAGAGAGAAGGTTCGTCCGTAAATTAGACTTTGTTTTGGAGATTAGTCTGTATTCTTTCAGATTAATAAAAAATAATAATTCAAACCAAAATTGGACATCAGTCAAAAGCCTGTAAGCTTCTGAAAACCCTGAAAACATGTGAAGAACATCATAGTTGTGTATGGCCAAACCATACATATATCTCCTTCCTTCCAACTGATGAAAGAACCATCATTAAAACACGAGATTTAATAATCCAACTCTTTTCTATTTTTAAAAGGTTAATTTTCTAGTAGGGTGAAGAAAGTAAAACCAAGAAGGTGTAATACAATTCTTTTAAAAGAGAGATCGGTTGAATTCAAAGTATGTTATGCCTAATATGGTGACACAAATGAATGAGAGATATGACCAAAATGTTTTTAAAAATTAAATAAATACTTATATCCATAGAATTAATTGATCCAGACTTAAGATTTAATTTTGAGGGGTAAAAGTTTCGAGAGGTGGGATTTAAGAAAAAAATTTTAAACAAATAAATAGTAAAAAATTAAAATATTTTTTTAAATAGTTTTAAAAAGAATTTTTAGATTTTAAATATAATTTTGGAAAAATAGAAAAAAATTTGATTTCGAGAGGGAAGAATACCGAAGTACTATTTCAGTATTTACCCAAAAATAATGAAAAACATTATCTTTTGTATTTTTAGTTATTTATTTAAATAACTATGTATATTTAAATATCTATAAAGCAAAGATAAAAGAATGTTTTTTTTATCTTTTTAATGAAAAAATTGGTCATTTTCTTCTTAAGAACTATTTTAATGAAAGAATCTATTTAAGGATCATTTTAGTGAATTGCCCAAAAATTATACTACTATAGTAAAAACCGAGTTCCCAAATTGCATGCCATTCTTCTTTTCTTTATAACAATTGTCCGTTGACTGATATGTGATTTTGTCAAACGATCAAAATTATGAACTACCAATCATCATTGTACTACCTTTGAATAAATAACAATCTATCAATAGATAATTAAACAAGAAAAATGACAAAATTATAATTTTTCAGCGCCTTGACGCACATAAAATGGGATACGCAAATTCTGTTAAAAGCAAACATTGGGTTATCAAATAAATTACATGAAACCCACCAAAATATGACTAATTATGTTACATGGTTCAATAGTAACAAACTGTTTAAATAAATCCCTGCCAGGTAAGAAATTAGTGACCAAGAAAGATAAATCAAGAATACAGAAACAAAGTAATCATCACAACTGAAGTAGAAGGTTGAGGTTGAAGTCCAGCAGCAACCTCACACTCACATTAAATAAGCGACACAGTCAAATCTTCATAAGTTCTATAAATTTCATAATATTTAATACAAGTATCAAAGTTTATTGTATCATAGATTAGTATTTTTATAGTTCCTAAACAAAATAATATAAATTAAAACATATATAATCAATAAAATATAAAGATTCTCATTTCTATTTTATAACCTATTATATCCTTATAATAAAACTATGCCTTTTTCCTCTTACTTATCAAATAATATATAGGACTCTCCTATAAAATTATATTTGGTGTTTAAGAACGTAAGTAACTTTTGATGAAGAGGAAACTGTGACCCAATCTAATACCAAAACTGAAAACATGTAACAAATATATTAATTAGTCAGAATCTAATTCATTGATGAAAAGACATCTCATTCATATATTGATTACAAAAATAAAATATACAAATTAATCTGTCAAAAACTTAATTTTTTATACTCCCTCTATTACAAAATAATAGGTTTTTAGTTTTTTATAGACAGATTAACAGAATTCATAAAATTTCAATATTAAATATAGATTTTTGAAATTATTTATTTCTCATAATTCAAACCAATAAGAATTAAATAAATACAATTAATTTCTTGAAATTAACAATTAATCATTATTAGTTGACAGTAAACAGTGATTTTTAAGAAAATACTTTAGTGTGATAAACTTAAGTAATATAATTACATAATAAATTTTATTTATTGTATATATTAAGTAATAAAAAAAATTTGTACCTTAAAAAGAAAATTAAAAAAATACAATTTTGGTGTGAGATTTTATTTTGTTGTTAGAGAATAAAAAATCGTAAGATTAAAACTATATAAAACAATATAATTCCACATTTAGATAGTGTTATGGAACAGAAACATGATCAGTTCTCTAAAGTACAAGACATAACATAAGCTGAGTGGATTACTCCAACGGTGGTTCCAGATTACGAATTGATTTTTTTCTCATATTTCAGATTAGAGATGTCATACATAGAGTAGATAGTTGATATGTATATAACATTCTTTTTGATAGATCCGTAAATTTGATATCTCTTCAAAAAAATGAAATATCCTTAAAATGGAATTTCGTTGGAAAGAAATTAGTTTCTCAGAATACACTTTAATGATAAATATTAATTAAAAACAAAATGAGTATCTCAATCTTGGGAGCTTTAAGACCACCATTAATAGTAAATCTTCATTTTGTATCTCATGAATATTATAATGAAACTAAAAGAAAAATATGAAAGAGAAATGAAATTAAAAAAAAATTACCTCCCCTGATAATCGTTGTCTAATTGTTGCGAGATTTTAATCAATTTATCTTATTTCTATTGGTTTATTTTTAAAACCATAATGAACAGTCTTATATACATACACGGCCAGCTTAAAATAATCTTATTGGTTATGTATCCACTAAAGTTCTCAACCCTTTTAAATCAATATTTCTAATGTAATTTTGTTATATAATTAAAGTTTTATTGTTTTCTAAATATTAAATCAATCATCAAATGCCATCTACAAATTACAGGTTCTGAATTAGTTGTTAAATTAATGCTTTATTTTTCTAACCAGACTGTAAAATGACAGCATTTTAGTGCAATTCTCTTTTTTTGCTATAATATCACACCATATTTGGCTAAATCAAAATTTTTTATTTAAAACTAGCACAAGGTTCATTGACTTTTTAAGCCGGGCATGTATACTTTTATACATACATATATATATATATATATATATCACTTCAACCTGATTTTGTTTTGGAACATACAGAGTGGAATTGTTAACCCATTTTAAACCACTAAATTAAAGCAAGTGATGGTCATTAAGCATAATTAGTCAATATTTAAATAGGGTATCATGTGCATCTCATCGTGGTGGAGAACCAATGACCTGCCCATGTTAGGTTCCGATGTAGCCTTTTTTGTCCTTTTTGTAGTTTATCATTTCTAAATGGTTTTTGGCCATCTTCCTTTGCCCTTTGTCTACTTGACAAACTCCTGAATCTTATTCTTCTTAACAATACCAATTTATTTTTCCTGACTCTTTCCAGGTTTTCAACTCACTTTTTCTTCTTGGAATATTGGATTTTTTCCCCCTAAATATGAATAGACAATGCACCAATTTGTACTGAAAAGTCTGAATAACGTTCCAAAGATATACCTATATACATGAGACATTTAGTTGATCTTTACAGATTATTTGGAAAAAAAATTTCCATTTAAAATCATATAACGAAAAAGAAGACAATTATGCATTACATGATGATTAAATCCTCATTTCTTCATGGTAGGATTTAAACTGATGTTACAATTTACTCGGAAAAATACCGGAGTGAAACAAATTTGGTAAAAACTGTGAGACAGTTGCTAGCCCTGGTCCAAACTGTGGTTGGGACTATAAATGCATTATCATTTTATGGACATATGTAATTGTAAGAATTTCATTAATACGTTGGTTGCACAGTTAAACAGATGAGAAGTTCAATCCTTTGTCGAACCTTTTTATGAAAAAATATTGTGGCTTAGTGGTTAACATAAATGGTTTACAACATTGATCTTAAAAATAATTGAGCCAAAAGTACAAATAGTTCCGAAGCCAATCTGGCAGCGTTTAATATAAATTACAGTTAGATATTAAGTCATATGTTTTTTTTTCAGAGTATGTAACTATGTGTATATAATTAAGTGAACTTTGGTAAAAAAGTAATTTAGTGAAAATTTATGCAATTTTGTCAGTGTTATATATAGCATAGAACAGATTACCCAGTTCTGAATTTTCCTCCATCTTGTTAATCACCAAAGTTATCTTTGTTATCACCTTCAAACCAGACTTTCTTTTATCCTCTTATCTTAACAAACTGTAGTGTTTAGAATAGCCATGCTACTTCTTTTATGGACATAGATCAACTCCAACCATAACAAAAACTTTTTTTATTGAAATAACACCAAATTTGATGTTAAACATTATTAATTTTCATTCCCAACTACCACACTAAATTCTACACCAAATAATATTATTTATTTTTTAGTTTTGATAGTTTTAATAATTTAAATATATTACTTTTTCTAATTGACTTATTATCCTTTTATCACATGTGGATTTTATG